GACTCCCAGCCCTGGAGGTGCAGGGCAACATTGCTGAGTAAATAATAAGTTTTAACTACCTTACCTGTAACATTAAGGCAACTTCTGGCAGTGATAAAACATTTGACTCAATTTCACCATTCAAGTTATTTTAGACGAAATTTTTATCCAGATAGGAGACCTTAATCAAATCACCGTATCATCTTAAATCGCAGAATAAGGAGGCTAATTCCCTGTAACCCTGTAAGATGGCTAGACAAAACTAAGGCACATTTAGAAAAAATAACATTTAAATCAATATAATTAAAGCTTGACAATGTGCCCAAAGCTTTACACTGCAAATTCCAACATACAAAAGACATCATAAAGCACATTTTATTACTTCAAAATGTACAACAATTATTGAAAAAGGTACTGAATGCCCCAAGAAGAGCATGACTCAAAATAAGGTCTCTCTACAACATGTGTAATAGCCATAGACAGTGCCTTTCACATGAAAATGCTAAGGCAGTATTTCAGTGAAATATAAAATGCATGCACTCATTGTCAAACAAGACAACAAAAGAAAATCTTCCTGTTTTTCTGGACATTTCTATTAGAGTATCCAACAACTTTAAAATATTACATAGACATACTAATTTTATTTTTAATTCATAACTTTAAACGATTAAAAAAATTCTTAAGCCTTAAAATTCAAAAACAATACCTATTGATAATACAGGTGTAAAATTTTACTATTATAATAATGTTTTAAGAATACCTGATGCCCCTTTAAAGTGCCCAGATTTTTGTCCGTCAGATTTCTACAAAAAAAAAATATTTAATATGGGATAAAAAGAATAAATCTATATAATAAAGACCCTTGCTTCACTTCCGGGTTTCAAAAAAGGGGAGAATATTGCTCAAGCACTGATAAGCTCTCCATTTTTTGATGAATTCATAAAATAATATTGAATCAGCTGGGTGCGTCTCAAACATAACAGGTCAACTCTGTAGCCCTTCTACATCAAAACTAAATAAAAATGGTTTAAAAATGCATATTTTGATTAGCATTAAGAGAACGCATAGCAACTTAAAAAATAAAGTGGCTATACCAACTTAGACTATGCTGTGAAATAAAAAAAAACAACTTTTGTCAGCTTAGTCAGATATTTTAAAGGTTTCGATGTAAAAGAGTTCTGTTAAAATCTGAAACAACCAATAATGACATTCATGTTTGAAATGGCGTTCTGTGTGCTTTCAAGATTTTAAAATGTTTGTGTACCATTTTGTGTTTTATACGATGTCAACTCCATCAGATGGATTTTTGTTGTTATATTCATTAAAAGTATGATCAGAATGATTTTTTAAAATAGCTTTTGTCAGTAAAAATGTGTTATTTATGTTAGGGATGGGTCGATCCACATTTTTTCAGTTCCTATCCGATTCCGATACACAACTGCTGATACCGATACAGATTCCAATACAAGAGCTCTTTTTACTTTGTTATACTTCATATACAATTTTTTAAAGCTAGTAAATACATATGGAAAAAATTTGACAAAATATTTAATTACGCTATAAACACACATAACGTACTGTTCCACCTTGTTTGTACATCTTGTTTTAAGTGTTTATGAGGCATTTGCAGTTCATTATGAATATCTTCAAAACAAGTACACACAAGTGGCAAATGCTTAAAATTTGAACACGATGTTTGTCCCATTGGCGTCAGCTCAGTTACACTTTGTTGCGATGGCAGCCCCTCTTGTATCACAAGCTGCAGCGAGTTCGCAAAACAGTCCAGGTTAGCGACTCCCAAATCATTCATTGCTTTTTTTGTCTAGCACAGTTGCGTGCGCTTTAAGTGGGATTGTCCATTAAATGCTCTTCCTACCTCTCAAAACTTTATTTTACAAAGATTGCAAATCGCTGTGCTACTGGTCTCTGTTAAAAGCGTAAAATACTCCCAGATCGTCACGTCTTACGTTTTCTTACGCTCCTCGTACTGCGAAGGGTACGCGCATGACGTCACAGCAGGCGGAAGTCACTGTACTCACACCCACTGAGTAGCAAAAAAGACTGGGGGGCAGCGATAGCGTTCGATTTGAATGCCACAAAAAAAACACGTGTGAAATGGGAAAGAGCTGTCGTGCGATTGATTGTACAAACAGATTTAACACGAAATAGGAGCTTTAGAGATTGCCAAAAACTAAAGTAAGTATAGGACATGGATCGGTCACGCATGACCGATGCCCGATCCGTCAAATAGATCTGGATCGGCGCCGATACCGATCCGAATATTGGATCGGTGCGTCTCTAATTTGTTTTAGAAATGTGTTTTATATTAGAATATTATGATTTTTTTTGTGTGAAAATTAATTCCCTCAACTGCAAAAAAATGCTGTTAAGATAAAATGAAATCATTGGAAGGATGGCGCTTCACGAAGTTTAATAGCCAGTACTTTGATCTTTTAAAATATTTCCCAACATGAATGAAAAGTAAAGATAAAAATCCCCCCAAAATCAGATTTTGTCCCTATTCAAGAATTAGTGAAAATATTTAAATACAAGTAATGCAAATCTGATTATTTTGGATGTGGTAATTCAGTTAAGATCACTATACCATTACTGCTTATATTTTGGACTTGAAAAGTGATCAGACTGAGAACAGCAACACACACATATGCAGCCTGAACTGCCTAACAGTGGCAGGTCTCTAGCACCTTAGTTCATGCTCCACTGGCACGATGTACTCGTCCACATCTCAGTTAGAACATTTGTAATGCTGTAACATTCCACCTACCATCCAAAATACAGTTCTGGAAAAATGGCAGTGCATGTGCGTGGTCCAGGTACACCTTACCTTGTGGGGACCAAATCTCCCCACAACGTGATGAAAACCCGTTTCCTGGTCCCCATGGGGGAAAACTATTTTATAAAAATCTGTGACTGCAATGAAAAAAACTTAAAAAAAATGCAAAAACTCTTGTATTTCACTTGGTTACTTATGGTTTTGGTTCGGGCTGCGTTGGGGTTAAGGTTGTCATAGTTAGCATTAGCATTTTTCCTATAGAAATGAATGAGTGGCCCCCAAAAAGATATGATAACACGACTGTGTGTTTGTGTGGCTGGTATTTCACTTCCCTCAAATTCACTCCTCAAAGGAGGTCCCAAACGACTACAGACAACAGGTAGCAACCAACATGACAGAAGCACCACAAGTATCTTGACAGGGTGACTGGCCAACATAACGTATCGACCCCTGCATCCAGAACTCCACTGAAAGACAAATCCATCCTTGTGTAAGAAAATCATTTTCCTAATGGGAATGGAAACAGCATTTCACTTGCCCACCCAGAATCTCTAATAAGTGTTCAGGCAGCAGAGATCCTGTTGACAGAAGTATCCAGGACTGTGACGCTTGAATAATTAAAATGACCACTCTCTCTTATTTGTTACATTCTGTATTTATGTGTCTATCGTTCCAGATCCCGTGTTCCAGATTTTTCCATCTCTCCATATGTACACAGAGTCAAAAGTTGAAAAACCAGTTTATCACTTTGTTTCCTTTTCCTACTCATTGTTTCCCTGCTCTTGTTTTGACACTCTTTGTGATTTATACTCTCTGTATTGTGACCTCAATTCTAGATTTTGACTTGCTTAGTTATTCGGCATTTTAAATTGCGTATTTGTATACCGACTCCAATTTTGGCTAACGACTCTTTTTGGACTCAGAGTTTGACTTGGTTGCTGAATTCTATGTCATTCTGTCCAGTCCAGTTTACTCACATAGACTTGTCATTATTCTGGATGAAAGCATTGTGCGATTCATCATTCAGCTCACCTGCATCTAGACCATGCCAGGAAAATGCATTCCATACAAGGCAGGTGCTACGGCTTCTCAACCAAACAAGGTGAAGGATGATTCATCAGGCCGTATGGCATTTTCCATTGCACACCACAATGCTGCCTGAACTGAAGGATTTGAGAAAATGCATTTTTGGGTGTGATAGGAGTGGCTGCAGCCAGACAGGCTGTTATGTTAACTGTGTAGCAATGCTGATGGAAGAATTGGATGTATGGCAAAAATCTAGGAATAAAACCCCCTCACATCAACAACATGGTGTAAATTTATCAGGTTGCTAATTAGTATATTTGGGTATGTATATTCTGAGAATTTTCCAATAATTTCCATATATTCTCAGCAATTCCCATGGAAAGTTTCCAAAATTCTTCAGCTTAACTTCCCATGGAATGGAATGGAAGGAAATTTACAGCCCCTTTACAACCCCAGTGGTAATATATAGCAATGACATCAAATAATTAAACCAATAATTAAACTATATCTTGAAGAATTATGTCATGGGGAATACAATGCAAGAACTGAGGCTTACACTATAGTTTGACAGCTTACAGGACAAAGACCAGGGTAAAAATGTCCTTAGTTTCTGCATCCACAGTCTATGATCAAGATGCAGTGTACCAGCCATGTTTTATTGGGGGAACAGCAAAAGCAGGTCAGAATGAAATATGGCTGAAAGTATAAAGGATTAAGGCACCTAGATTTTGGGGCAAAAAAAGGTCAGACTGAAATGTTTCATGCTGTTTGTGGGCAAAATGAGGGAGATGAAACTGAACAGTCAGAAATCCATCATGGCAGTGGGATACCACTGTCTCTCCAGGAAAATAGCTAGCTGAAGCGAAAATACAGTAAGACAGCTGATACTCTGTCACAGATGGACTACAGAAAAGTCGCCAAAGTAACATAACAGCAGAAAACATCACAGAAAGTGCTGTTCAGAGACAACTAGATACTCAACGGGATTTCTATGGATCAGTTTTTTAAAATTTCATCCATGCACACTGTACTGTATTATGGCATAAAGTCATGGAAATTTGCATCCATCTTCTAAGCACTTATTTTGGATAGTCATGGGGGATGCCAGATTAGGAATTTTTAAAATAGAATATATCATCACATAAAGTACGCAAAACTATATACCAGATTCGTGGCATATAAAGGTAGATAAATGACATACTAGAAATGTACTACCGTGATGGGTTGCTGCTGCACTCTAGATTATTCCCTGCTTTGTGGCCATAACTTCTGGAATATGCTCCAGAACACCGTGACCCTGCATAGAACAAGCAGGTAGAGAAAATGGATTGATAGATGGATAGATAGAAATATACTGTAGGTCAGAGGTCACCAACGCGTCAAACTTGAGCTACCACTACCCCAAAGGGAGGAAACAACTAGTCTACGCAACACTGCCCAGCCCCCCCCAATCATATTTTATGTTTATAGTAAATATGGAAGGCTATAGGACTTCTGAATATCCATGTGCAATGTCACAACTCAAACCACATCCATACAAACAGTGCCAATACAGCGGGACTAGGTAGAAGCTAGAATGAATGGCTACTTTCTTTAGTATGTCTGCAAGGCTGTGAGTTCCCCTCAACCCTCAACCCCCACACATGGCCGACATGGAGAGAAACACGTGGCTGCCATCGATACCACAAAATATCCAGAGCAAAGAAAACAGAGCCAGCAAACACCAAACTGCATGTGACTGCACATTAAAGAAAATCCCTGCCAGGTAAGAGGCTCCAAAGGGAAAGATGGGGCGTTTTTCCACCGCACCAGGTGCTGAACTTCTGGTACTTTGAGAAAGCACAGAAAGTACGGTACTTCAGGGTGTTGGTTTTCCCACTGACGTAAAAACTGGTACCGGCGCAGAATGACATCACAGCGCAAAGCGGGGTAATTTGTGCTGAATTCAAAAAATGGCTGTAGTATATTATACGGCTTGGCGATGTGCAATATTAATACCAACATCACATGTTATGCACATACAATTCTTACATCACTAGTCAGCTAGATTAAAATAAGGCTTTTTCTTACTTTCAATTCTGTGCGGACATTATAACTTGGGCGTTAAAGTTTTGCTAAAATATTTTTACTATTTTTTCCTTTTATAGATTCTTACGTTTAAAAATCAGTTTAAAGTTTTACCTCCCCTGTTCTTTCATGAGCGCTGCATACGATCTCAGAGGCAATCAATCATCCTCATCCTTGCCGTTTAATTCAGTCAAAGATGGATTTGTGAGAAATTTATTAACTCCTTTTTTGTTTTATAAATATCTCAATATTTATTACAACTAAATCACATTGCTAGGATGTTATATGTGTGCTGTATTAGTATTTTCAACAAAATACATTTTAATTTCTTGTCAGGCCATCCAGATCTTTCTGTTGTACATGTTCTTATGACCAAATTACATTTTTTATTTATTTATTTTTTTACTTAATTTATCATCATTTTCTGATTTCAAAACTGTTTTAAGGTGGCGTTTGTATTGTGTTTCAGAGGCAGGCTATTTGCATAACCAATTGTCAAAGAAAACGTTTCAAGCCCCTCCAAATAGTACCAAAGCAGCTGGTTTGGCACTTTCGGTACTGGGACTTTTGGTACTGGTACTGGACTGGAAGTCAATGAAAAAGCAAAAGTACCGTACCAAAAAGTACCGTACTTGGTGCGGTGGAAAAATGCCCATAACAGAGACCCTGTGGAAGAGGTTCAAAGACCATAAAATGACTGGAGTGACGAACGTCAGTATTTGCAAGTCGACACAAAGTGCCACGTGTGAGACATGCTTTACGGGTCATGTTTCCACCTCGCAGGGCTGCATTTGCTAATGGCTCCCTCCCGACAATTCCTCTTTGCACATCTGAAATGCAAACACTACCTCACAGAGCAGTGAAAGTAAACTGAGCTTGTATGCAGGCACAACAAACCAAGCCAGGATTCCGCACCCCCACACCATAAACCTTACCCCACCCCTGCCCCCCCATGCACAGAAAAACACATAGACAGACAGACACCCGGAAAGTAAGCATGAGCACAAGAGCCATCGCCATTTTTCAAGCTATGTTCAGGATATTTTGGCTTACAGTGATACAAAACTGCATCATCTTTTCCAAAATGCCTGCATAATTCACCTACGGAGCTTTTCCACTGGCATACAGGAACCGAGCCATACCTGAGCGTTTTCCATTGCAGAAGCGTCGGCTCAGTAAAGGTGTTGCCGGGTTTGGAGAGCAACAGCGACGTAAAACTGAAAAGACACTTATATACTGTTCGCACGTCTATGTCATGATTTACTATGTGCTTATTTCCACTAACAAGTCCGAGAGATTGGCCATCTAACATTAGCATCAAATACTAGCAAAATTATCCATCGCTTGTGTAAATCTGCATTATAAATCCATTCCGTTCAGCTGTTCTGTAGTGCTTTTTTAAGCAGGCAGTTGGAAATTTAAGCTCTGGGTTACCGGGAATACATCAAAACAGTATGATGTGCAATACTACTAATAATGAATAATATACAGAATATGCCCTTTGTTCCTGCATATAATCCTTGCATACCGGTATCTCAGTGCATTTTGACCAATCAGACGGTGGTGACGCAACCAGCTCAGTTTGGTCAGAATTTCAGCCCTACTAATAAGCAGGGCCATATCAGCGTGGGTACGGCTCGCATAATTTACAATGGAAAACCGCCAATTTGCGGTAAGGCTCGCTTCTTGGTGACAGTGGAAAAGCGCCAATAGGAAAAGTGGCCATCTTGGATTCAACACCCCGCTCCTGAAACAGACGTGCCATTGTTTGTCTGTCATGTTGGTGTAAGGTCCAATTCCCTGAGGCTAAGAAGAGGGGGTTGGGACACAGGGCACCAACCAATAAGGGTATTCCTTAAAATAAATGGTCCATGGACAAAAACCCAAATGATGCAAACATCCCTATAAGCCACTTAATCTTCGAGTCAAAAAATTCAAGAAGAGAAACAAGCAAACTACAAATTCATGCTCAGATGCATGAAGAAAGGCTTTCAGGAACACGATCTAAGCTGATACGTCTTTTGTTACTCATTGACTACAATGGCAGAGTTGGTTGACAGTAAATTATTCAGGCTCTCTCGACTCTCACCAACTGGTTCATGTCAGTCAAAAGACCTCACAGGAGGGGGAGAGGGGGGAGTAATTTGACAATACAGTGGAAAGGAACCATCAAGAGTGATGCCATTATGGAAAATCCTATATTACATCATTAATGGTCACAGATGCACAGTTTCAAAACTGTAGGACAATTACATCTTAATAAATTGAATCCACAGCCGAGATTAAGTATACAACCCTTCCTGAATCACCAAAATAACATGCAACACAAGCTGCTGATAAGGAGGGCTTTTGGCAGGAACTACGCCCGATACCGACTGCAAGGCCGTCATTCCTGCGCGTGATCCCTTCCCGAAGGCATCCTGGAGCGGAGCGACGCAACAGGCAGGTGCCCATAGAGACGTACACAACACCCCCATTTAGCAGCGAGGCTCCGCAGGATGGCTTTCATAATAGAGCCGGGCTCATGTTTCAGGGCCGCGCTGGGTGTCCTTTCCGGCAGCCCGCTGCCTCCCATCTCCCTTGTAGTAACCGAGGTGTTAGAACAGCCAGTGCAGCCACAAGGCCCTAGCAGCTGCCGGCGAACAGAAATAGGCCGAATTCATTTGCATGGCGTACAGACGCCACGCCTGCTAGATAAAACAAGTTTGGCAGACATGTTATACATGTCCCTCAAGGTCACTTCAGACGTTATAACTACAGGTCGACAGTTTCCCTTAATTATAAGAGTCCTCTGCACATATTCCCACTGTCTGGCTACAGGTGCACTGGGCGCGCGCGCGCACGCGAGTGCGCGCGCACACACTTCATAATACGGTGAAAGAGTCACGTGAAACCCCAATACATAGGTTATTATGTGAGCATTTTTCCAAACGAACCGCAGTGAAATATAAACAGTACAGTACATTCCGCTCAGTGCGCTATGTCGGTACAAAGATTTAGAGCAACGTGGCAATTTTTATATTGAAAATACCAGATTAAATAAAATGGATCACGGAGCCTCATTACTGGGCTATCTGCTCGACAAATACAAAATATTATCCCGTCAGTAAGCCCATAACTCAGTACATATTCTTCCTAGACCGAACCAGGTTTTCCGCGTTTTCCGCTAAATAAAAGGGAGGGCAGGCAAATGGACACCGCTTTCGTGCGAATAAAGTTGAGGTTGGGTTGCGATGAAGCATTTGCCTCGTGGGGTGTTAACCTTCGGAAATGTAGCGATGCAGCCCCTTACATAATGTGAGCTTTCCATCTCCACTGCCCTACCGCACGGACAATTAACTAATCCTCTTAGATACGCGTTCATTTTAATGGCCGTGGCAGGACGCGTACGAGTCGCTTTTTATGCTGCCAGTTTATACAACCATGTTCAGATACATTACACTTTCAGATGATTATCAGATCTATGTAGTTATCTTAGCAAAAAAAATAACATAATTTGCAATTATTGTAAAATAAAAAAGAAGGATGCAAAAGCAAAGAAAGCCAAGTCATTTAATATAAATGCTTTCTCTTCAGCTAGGATGCTATAAATCCTTCAAAATTGCGTGCAACCAATACAGTCAGTCAAATATATGAAAATACAAACATTCTGCCTTACCTACTACTGAGCTCAATGTCTCAAATACAGTCACCGGCTTCTGAATGCACGAAGAATTCGAGATCGCGGTGGTGTTTCGTTTTATTTTATTTTTTTTTTTTTTGCTTTATCGTCGGAAACCGTCCTTCTGCTTGTGGATGAAGAGCAGGTTACACATAATGACAGAATGAGAGGAATATCACGGAGAGCCGTCACACCTGCCCCCGTCTTCATACAAGCTGAGAGCGAACCGGGGTTGCCAGCATTCCTGCAGGATTTAAGGAATTATCGCGTCATCGCCTAACCGTGATGTCACGCAAAGCATATACGAAGGCCGCTGACACCTTGAATCCTTCTTAAACCACTAATAATACACTGTACAGAACGGCTAACGTCAAGAAATGTATACTGTCTAATTTAAAACATTTTTCCAAAAATAAACTAGAACTGATTTGACCTGTATTGTACTGCAATTGTTTCTCTCTCTTTGCTTTTATTTTAAGCTCATGAAAGTGAAAGCACTTTGACCTGCATTCCATGTATGAAAAGTGATACATAAATAGAGATTACTATTAATAATATGATAATCAAGTTTTAGAAAAAAAAAATGGCATAAAATTAATTCCGTTGCCAGTTCATAAATTCTAAAGATTTTCATAATCGTTCATGTCCTAGATCTGGCAACCCATGATGAGGGTCGAGTTGGTCTCACAAAGCGCATGCGCGAACAGTGCAGCACAGTTTTTCCATGTTGAAACGGTGGATTGTAGCTTCATCAGCATCAACATGCACCAAATATGCATATTTCTCAGAATTGCTAGTCATTGGCTTATATTTGAATAACTTTGTAGTAAAGTATCCTAAATTCATTAACATAACCAAATATTTTCAAAGATATTAGAAATGTTATTATGAAGGCATGTAGAATGCGCTGTTGTACAATTTGAACAAGGTCCAGGGACTCATTCAGCTGACTTTAGTAAACGTATTGATTGCACCACAGCGCCGTCTACAGGAAAATCGTTTTATGAGGCCAGCGTAGAATTCTTTTAGAAGAATATCTGATTAGTTATTTGTAATTCCCACTTTTTTCTAAAAATTAGATACAATCCAAAATATACTACAGTATTTTTTTACGTGTATAGTACGCGTATAGTATTCAAAGTTCAAGATTTTTATTTGTCACATGTGCAATTGTATAGTACAGTGGCAGTGAAATGTTTTTGTGGCAAAACAGGAGTGGCTTACACAAATACTAATCATCTGTGGTCCAGAACATGCCTCATAAGGTATACTCCATGACTGCATCCTTATCTTCTAACCGCTCACTCTGCTCAGGGTTCCAGAGTAAGATATACTCCTAAGTAATCTACTAACAAGCTGCTAAGATATTAAAAATCACATAGGTGTCTTAAATATATTAAATACATTTAATTTTTATTTCCATTATGTGATAAATAATTATAATATACAGATGTTTATTTGCGGTGTAAAAGCGACTGTCCTCATATTTGAAGCAAAATTGTGATAGCAATGTGCTGACATTTTAGTTCAGTGGTGCCCAACTCCAGTCCTGATGAGCCGGAGTCCTGTGTAGCTTAGTTCTTTCCACCACAAATGATTCAGCTCAACAGCTGTGTGGTAATTAGCCCAAGGAGTTGAATCAGGTGTGTTAAATGAGGGAAACCCAAAACTGTGCAGGGCTCTGGCCCTCTAGGACTGGAGTTGGGCACCCCTGTTTTAGTTCACGAAATTCAAATTTAAACCCCCCCCCCATTAGGTCATTAACTTATTTCTGTAGTACTGTACACTGTCAAGAAAAACAGTACCAATTTATACCTCTGAGGGTACAATTACTTGTCACTTGGACTGTACCCTCGAAGGTTCTGTCAAGGCTGTACCCTTTATTCTGACAATATACTACCATTACTTATAACAATGACAATAATAATAATATGACTATGAGTTGTAATAATAGTTTTTACCACTATATTGTTTTTATATTTGCTATACATTTTGAAATTGTTGTTATTGTCATTTTACAAAATTGCACAAAAAAATAACTAATTGGGCCAGTGGAAGACATGAAGATATGCGATCAGCCCCCTAGCCAGAACGTAGAAAACTGAAGCTGTTAGTAAAATAAAACTTAAAATATATTATATAAATGATACATCAAATGACATGTCATTGTGCTGAGTCTAGATACATTATACTTTATATATATATATATATATANTATATATATATATATATATATATATATATATATATATATATATATATATATATATATAAAATACATTATGAAATCACATGAGACTGCACATACTGTAGACTGGTTTATTTTGAGGTGTGTTATCGGATTTGATTACCCCTCTGGAGAAACTCTGTGTGCTTATTATGACATGCATAAGGTATACAAGGTACAATAGAAAAAATAGATGGCTGCGTTAGAAATGGATCATCAGGTCATTTGGGAGGAAAGGTAAAGATTTTGCTTCTGCAGCGCATGAAAAAAAGAAACACATGCATGACACATGACACATGCACATTAAAGCACATGCCACTGAAAACCACTACTTTATATCTCTACTTTTTTGCAGTCAAGCAAAAATAGTTTACGGTCAGTTGCCCCATGTTTAGTAGAGATATGGTTAAGTAATGATAGAGGCACAAACCACACTGTCCTTTCAGATTCTATACTTTTGCCAAGAATTCTCCTTCCAAAAGATTTCACGGCCCTCTCTTGGAAAGAATGCAGAGCCTCGGTTTTACATTTTTGGCATTGTTATCTAGTGTTGACAGTTGTTTGTACACAATTCGTATGTGATTATAAATGTAGTTTTAATTTTACGCAAAGTTCTTCTGAGTGAGACAACTTTATAACTTGTTTTTTTCTTCCCTAATTTTCAACTGTTTCAGTGAGCGCCGCTTCATTTGGATCTCTCCACGTTTCTTCAGGAGGACTTTATACTGTGCGGTAGTGTGCAAACCGGCGCACATGCACTTGCAGAGATAAATTTAGCAGGAGCTGAATCGGCAAATGATTGTGTGTTTGTTTCATAGCACGGGCGCGTTACTTCTTATGCAAGTAATACTGGCAAAAACAGGGAGCTAAATGCGGAAAGCCACTAACTCCTGATGCCGCACACTTGATTCACTAAGAGACCATCAGCCTTCCATCGATGTACGTCTTGTGATGTACATTAGAAAAGGTACGTTTGAGGAAAAAGAATCCCGTCTATATTTTAAAGTTTTGTTCACATTCGCTGTTCTGATCATGCGGTGATAATAACCGGTTGAAATAATCCGAGCGGTTCACGGGGACAGTGTGACTATATAAATGAGCGGTACTAAGAGGAACACTGAACACACCAAGGTGACATTTGTCCGCAGTTGTTTCCGGTTGTCTGCAGATGTTACAATTTTTTTTCCAATTGAATAATTTCCTGTATCATTGAATATATCATTCTGCAGTATTTGAAGATGACGGTGACTTATTCCAGTAAGGTTGCCAACGCCACGTTCTTCGGCTTTCATAGATTATTACTACGCTGGAGGGGCAGCATCTACAAACTTCTTTATCGGGAATTCATCGTTTTTGCGATTTTATACACCATTCTAAGCATCGTGTACAGGTAACTTCGTATATTTTAATTTTCCATTCCAGTTTTCTTCCATTTTAATAACACTAACATAAAAACATATTGTGTATTATAAATTACGAAATTATAAAGATGTCCACAGTCCTCGTTTCTTATTTTTTTCTGTTATACTATAATAACAACAGGTTGTATTGCATATAGATCCCACATATCAATAGTTAAACATTTTCTTCTGAAGAGGTCAAATATTTTGAATGAAATTCATTGTAACCTTTAGTACAATTATACCCGGCTGCTGCTTTAAATGTGAACGTACGTTTTGAAGAACGAGGGTAAAAATATTAAAGAGACACCGTTATTAAGTGACTGCGCTTGGTAAGCCTGACTCTGTATGTATCTGACCTCAGTTATGTCAGCAAAATGGATCTGACACGTAATGGCTCTTTCCCAGCGTCTCAGGTCGTAGGAGGTAATTTCAGATATTTAGCTATTATTGTGTTTTATTCTGCTGTGTAGCCCAAGAGCAGACATTTAACAAGTTTGCAGAAATGGTTGAAGGTTCACAATATTTTCTTATTTGAGTGAAAACTTCTTCATCCAATAGGTCCCTTTTTACACCTTAATACTAAGATCAGGATTTTAAAACACCATCTGTAAATGTCTTCATGCTGTCATGTAGACTTAATTATAATATTAATCGCAATGTTTATTATTTTGGGATTTCCAGACAAAACATTCAGATGCAAAATGAATGCTTGTTTTTCTTTCATGTGCCAAATCACTCCTTAATTTATGGCTATCAGGAGTTTAAATATTTCAGGGAAAACATTAGTCTATGAAATATCCATGGACTGTTATGCAATAAGACAACACGCAGGCTGTAGCGGTGATTGTTAGTAGGACACCTGCAAGACTCTCCACAAATATATTTTCTATCCACCTCAGACTCTTTCTTACAGATACGCAGAAACTTTACTTTGAAAAGCTGTCGCTATACTGTGACAGGTATGCTGAGCAGATCCCCGTGACGTTTGTGCTGGGTGAGTAGGCCGTCTCGGGACTGAGCGGGGGGGGGGGGGGGGGGATCAGGCTGCATGGGGCCCCCAGCATCAGCAAACTCTCCCACATAGGTCAAACTCAGGTGATGCCGCTTCAGCTTGGCATGTTTACAGCAGTTGATTTGCTTCCTCTTGCTTTCTCTGTAATCCCACTCCCCCCCCAGTTCTCTATGCATGCTGGGCCCTCCTGCTGAACAAAACCCGGGCTGTCTCTGGCAAGATGAGAAGCCGTCGGGGGGGGCGAGTGTAAGGCTTGTTTGGTCCATCAGCTAAGAGCTTCCCCTGTGATCCAGTGTTAGACTTACAGCTAAATATAAAGGCTCCTGACTACGTAACTTTGCCACACACTAAATCAGTGTTTACCAGTCCGGTCCTTGGGGACCCACAGACAGTCCACATTTTTGCTCCCTCCCAGGGAGCCCAAAAGGAGCAAAAATATGGACCAGCTGTGGGTTCCCGAGAACTGAATTGGGAAATACTGCACTGAATCATTGTGAAAAGAACTAATCCTGTGTGGATAACAGTAAGTGCCTGTTGTAAATATCTGTGACTCTGTTCTGCAAACAAACGGATGATAGCCATGGCAGAACGGGAGAGAAAATTGCTAAAGGACAGATACACACGGACCGCTGCTGAAGTTTCACTGAAGCTCGCAGCTTCCATCTGCCGAAGGGACACAGACAACACCTTTCACTCAGAGCTTTCTGAGTCCCCTTTAGTCCAGACTAAACTTTTCAAGGCTAATAGACATCCAGTGGGCATTACTCTTCACTCAAAGGACAAACTGAAGGACCAGATCATTGTTTTTTAAAGGTGGTGCTTGGGAATTAAAAGGGTCCCTTGGAAAAGTTAAATCAATGATGTCCAGCTGAATTGTGCTAACATCTCTACAAAATTGACTTTAGATGGTCTTTTAATGACCTGGTATATTGTCAACCAGGAGCTACAAATGAATAGTGTACAATCAGAACAATTTGCATTTCCTCCAACTTAATGAAGGTACGTCAAGGATTATATTTTGTTTTGTGCTTTGACAATATCAGGGTCAGGAAATATGCATATAAGGACATTACTTGCTTGCCTGTGACGCATCTTTGCCAAATACTGAAGCATGACTTGGAGTCATTTGCTCTGTCCTCTCGTTCCATTGCATGGGAACTCTGGCACTCTCGTAAAATGTCTAGCATGGAACCCATTGGTCTGAAGGTCACTGTCGTACACACAGGGTCGCATGTGCGTTTCATCTTCAGCTGTAATGATACTCCTCATGCAGTTGACCAAGTCAATGCATCAGCAACTTCTCTGACAGTTATAGATTTCCAGGAAATGAACTTTGCTCTGAATCGTGAGCAAGTTCTTGTGCCCCAGAATGCCTGGTACTGTTGATTCTGTCACCCAGCTCTTTCAGACACTTGTCTCTCTGCCATCCCGGCAGGTTTCTATGTAACATTGGTGGTGAATCGCTGGTGGAACCAGTTTGTGAACCTACCATGGCCAGACCGGCTGATGTTCCTCATCTCTAGCTGCGTACAGGGCCGGGACGAGCAGGGCCGCCTGCTCCGACGCACGCTGGTGCGCTACGTGAACCTCACCTCCCTGCTCATCTTCCGCTCTGTCAGCACGGCAGCCTGCAAGCGCTTTCCCACCATGGACCACGTGGTGGAGGCAGGTAGGGGCCTCAGCAGCCAAACCGCAGTTACCTTCAGAAGGACAGGGATCATGGCCAAAGCGATGAGGTGGTGGGATTATGATTATGAAGTTCATTAGCTCAGAAGTCAAACACAAGCAAGAGCTGGGTATATTTTTGACTAAATGGTTAGTGGCTGAGTTTGAAGGCTAATTTGCCCCCAACGTGTCCGCTAATACCCTCTAAGCATTTACTGTTTCTTCAAGATTCAGTACTCAGCTGCAATCAACCAGGCCATGAACGTTATTTAGTCAACACTGCCTAGCAAACTCCAAATCAGCTGCATTAATTCGGTGCCGACATCTCTGTGATGATGGGTAATTATAAATTGCATCTATAAATAAGGGCTGCTGACACCGACTCAGGGTGGTCCCTCCTACGGTTTCTTGAGAATAGTTTGGAACAAACAGTTCATCGCATCACCTGTTATCTTGGGCGGTCTTGAAGCAGCACAGAGTTGGGATCTGTTATAACAGACACCATGTCTTTGATATCTTGTAGCCTCCAGTGCTCAGGTTTGCCATGGAAACAGCTGTGGCAGTTTCTGGCTCGACTGATTCTTTGTGCTGTTTAGGCTTCATGACGCCCGAGGAGAGGAAGATCTTTGAGAACCTCAAGTCCCCCCATCTCAAATATTGGGTGCCAGTGGTGTGGTTCACCAACCTGGCCTCCAAGGCACGGAAGGAAGGCCGCATCCAGGACAGCGTGGACTTGCAAACCATCCTTACTGTGAGTGCCGGAATTCCTCAAGAGCCGAATGGTCCATGGTCCACGTGGGAGACAGTTGTCAGTTAGATGGAAGGATGTAATGCACAAGAAATGTCATAGGGCTCCACAGCATAATCTGTGAGTCCTAGGAGGACTGCCAAGATATGTTCCACTAGGCAAGGGTCTTAGCCAAGTCCAACTTCAGAATCAAACGTCATAAATCCAGTGGAAAAGTCAACTCATTGAAATGAGATCCTCTTTTCCCCTGAACTCCAAGCTAAACTCATGACTGTACACATTCCAGCTGTGTCCCATCCTCCAATTCTCAATGAGAAATGATGTAGTAGACAGACAGTGAAGGGTCACAGAGGCTGCAGAGCAGACTTGTTTAGCCACTTGACCTTCTTAAGTCATTATTATTGGGTTGCAGGAAATGAACAAGTTCAGGACATGGTGCTCCACTCTGTTTGGCTACGACTGGGTGGGAATTCCTCTGGTCTACACACAGGTGGGGATTGTTTTTTTCTCTCCAGTTTTTGGCCTGCAAATACAATAGACAATCAGGGTGACCATGTGGATGTCCAATCAGAAAAAAATAAATCCCTGTTGTAACATGTTGCATGAATCAGAATCATGAATGGAAGCCAGACCACAGATTTAGTCTTATTTTCTGCTTCAGATTAATCACTTTTTCTCATTAGCTTGTTACTAATGCCAGTGGGCTAGAGTAACTCCCCTAATGATACTGAGAAACCGTATTACAGTCAACTGAGACGAAGGTACCTTGCTTAAAGGAGATTCTTACAGTTCTTGTAAACTATATCTGGTTATGCAAGAAATTTAACAAAACAACATAATAAAAATAAACCAGAAATAGTGAACACTAGTACATAGATATCCAAATTCCAGAGACATATCAGTATTTGCATCGCCTAGATGAAACAGCGAGGTGTAATTGCTCCTGGTCACTAATCACGGGACACAGGAACGCAAAATGATGTGACTCAGCTGATGTCCCATTGATTGCTGGGAAAAAGAATGATGGCCAGCAGCCCTGTATGCTGTTATTCAGCAGCAGCTGTACTACTGCCTGTCTCATATTACCTCAAAATATAAATCCTGCGGTTATTTTTAGCATGCTGTTCCTGGGTCTCATGATGTTAAAGAGTCTCGTCTGAACACAGGCAAGTTGTGGGTCTGCTGTAGGACATGCCTAATGTGGGCATCCAGTTGTTCAACATTTTAGGAGGCAAACAACCTCAGGGTGTTTGAGAAATCTGCCTTATGGGGCCAATAATGTAGCAGGATCCTCAGGCCCTGTATTCTAATTGGCTGCTTAAGCGAAGACATGTACAGTCGTCTACAGTTTTTGTTTACCAATTTCTACCGTACTTATTGTAAAGTAGCACACATATACTAGCATGACTCTCCGTTTTACATTTTCACATTTTAACCCATTTCTGTTGGTTTTCCTGGAAAAAAAATTAAAAACGGTCACTCAGTTTCCTCCCATGGAGTTTGAACTCCAAACCTTAGATGTTTTTCACTTTTACATTGTTAATGGAAAACCATGATCTGCTGAAACCTGCAGGGGGCGCTGATTGTGCTTGATTACTTATTGAAATCAGTACTTGGGTATGAACTCCTTCCATTCTACTGATTCATGTGATGGTATCTTGTTTTTGTTTATATCAGCCAACATCTGTTGTTTTCTAACCCGTTAATCATTCAGTCCACCTTACTCTCCCTGAAAACCCACCCACTCCTTCTGTCCAGGTGGTGACCCTGGCAGTCTACACCTTCTTTTTCGCCTGCATCATTGGACGGCAGTTTCTGGACCCTGGACGTGGTTATCCAGGCCATGACCTGGACCTCTATGTGCCCATCTTCACCCTGCTGCAGTTCTTCTTCTACTCCGGCTGGCTAAAGGTTTGAGACCCACCCCCTGTCTCCCTCCTCTATCCTCCAGCTCCCGTGAATTCAGTCAGCCTTTTACTAACGCTCGTCCATCATGTCATGTGAACAGTGCATCATGTTATCAGTAAGTATGGAGTAGATCTTGGAAAACAAAGTTCAAGTGAGCTCTGCTTTGAAAAATCTGCAGTAATTTCGTTCTACGTGTATTTTCCACTGTGACCAAGTAAAACAAATCACGTGTCACCATTGTGTGATTCTTTGAACACGGCCCATCTATGACGTCTCTTCCTGGCCTGACTTCTCCCACACGTCCTCAACTGGACTGTGCTAGTTTTTCGGCAGGAAATGTGTCCCTGCCTGCCAAACGCAGGACCCTAATCACACTGATCTTCCATATCCCGCCTAGCGCCGTCTTGCTGCCTAAACGTACTTAGGGGACTTAACGCAAAAGCCAGAGCCTACACATAATGACAACGTATGCATATAACTACCAGAGATGCTAACAACTGGACACGCAAGCAGTCTGAGCCGACACACTGCAAGCACAAAAACAAGACAGACAAAAAGACCCCGAAAACGCAAATCAATCAGAGCAGTAGACAAAATAACCTGCTAGGTACAAAAACAACCTGGTACACAAACACAACTCATGCTAATACTTAGAGCCGAAAGGACACAACAGACTTAGCAAACCACATGTATGTAAAATTCAGGAAACTAGGTACCCTGCACCTATGCCAACCACTGATGACATCCTGTTATCTTCAACAATTACACCTGACCAATAAAAACCAACAAGCTTAAATCCTGCCAGTAAAGAGTTCAGCAAAAGCCATACAAACAACGTTACAGTAAACTGTTTCTCTCTGAGATGACAGGTCTCTAGACAGAGTGATCAAAGGATCCCCAGCTTTCCAGTATCTTCTGAATACTCGCAAAACATAGGTAGTGCGTCAAGCAATGTCAGAGTTTCCTAGGTTTACATTAAGTATTTTCATTGGAATGTGGCTGCTAAGTAGGATGATTGCTAAGTGGGATGCAGCAGAATACCAACTATGGTCAAGCATATTTTCCTAAGGACAAATTGCAAGCACTTGCATGGGATTCCACTCCAGAACCTTAACCTAACACTGTGCTCCTGGGCTCCTCCAGGTGGCAGAGCAGCTGATTAACCCCTTCGGGGAGGATGATGATGACTTTGAAGTCAACTGGTGCATCGACAGAAACTTGCAGGTCAGTAACAGATGCTAACAAATGGGTGTCAACACATCTGCATTCCCTCTCAACATCCTAAGACTGCTCCTAGAGCAAGCCTCTTGGTGGAACCTACTCCAGCTTTAACTTGCCATCTCTGACAGGTATCCCTGATGGCCGTGGACGAGATGCACATGAACATTCCCCGCATGACCAAGGACATCTACTGGAACGATTCGAATGTGCGACCTCCATATACTCTGGCTGCAGCTGACTACTGCATCCCCTCGTTCCTAGGGTCCACCATTGGGTAAGGACAAAGAATCAAAGTTGGCACACACCTATGGTACACGTCACTAAGTGACAGCCCACCTGATCCAGACTTTGACTAAATGTTCAAACCATTTCTGTACTAAATTTCATGTTTTAAGCTGTGCCACATTTGAATGTCATGTGACTTATGACACAGGATAATATATTGGTTCAGAGACCCAGAGTTTAACTCTGTATATATGACAAAGACTGGTTTTATGAGGTCATTTTAAGCACCAAAGATCACAGTAACTGTTTAAAATAACAAAGAACTTAGCTCCAGACCAAACATCCAGAGTTCAGTTGGTCAACCGGTGCTCTGAGTCCCCAACTAAGGCGTACACTGTGGGTACGCACTGCGAGTCTCCCCAAGCATTGTGTTATCTGTATCTCCGTTAACGGGACTGAATGTCATTGGCTGTCCCCACATTACCGCAGGCTGTCGGAGGTGCTGCAGCATGAGGATATGGACAATCGGGACCAGAGGAACCGGCGCCAGGAGTCAGTTCTTGGCCGGGTGAGACGGCTGCTGAGCTCCCAGGAGCCAAACGACTTGGGCCACGCGAGACCCGCGTATAAGCGCCATAGCAGCGACATGTCCAGCGTCTTCTTCCCTTTCAATCCAGAGGTCCGGGGCCACCTGGGACATGAGGAAGCTGGCCACCTAAGGCACAACTTTCCAAATTCTCACCTGGTCCACAACCAGTCACCTACCGAGATGCTGGCACCATTACAGGAGGTGACCAGCAGCCTTTCATCTCCTGACTCTCCTATCCACATCAACTTGCCCACAGTGGTGATCACCCCCCCTGATCCTACTCCGCCTAATCGATCGTTAGCGAATTCCCAGAGCAGCTTGGTCATGCCCTCTGACGTCGGCACCGAAACCACACTAGAACCAAACCAGATCTTGACATGCCAGAGCCCTTTGGAGGAGAATGCCGGTGAAGAAGCTCTGGTACAGGATCCCCTCATGGATTACAATCTCACAGAGGTGGGACTCAAGAAGTTCCGCTGGAGCATTCCTGTCGACCGATGGACCCAAGACTCCGACGACTCTTCGTGCAACCTGCCGAGCCCCAAGGGTTTAGTGAGGAAGAGAGGCCTGAGTACGGCCCACCACTATGAGAAGAAGGATGGCGAAAGTGGAGAACCTCGGCACACACGGCCAAGCTTAGAGAGCAGCAGCCTGACGTCCAGCAGTGAGGAGAACCTGGAAGCGATCAAGCAGCAAACCAAAGAGGACACTTCAGGGGCCTAACATACACACACACGAAATAGCCTTGGGAAAAGTAGGTTTATCCAGTGCTCCGTTATATTATTTTTATATTTTCGTTACAAATTATGATGTTTTTCTGTCTTTTGTCACCAAATTAAAAACTTTGTGCTCCACCAGGATTCTGTTATCATTGAGATTTTTTCTGTATCTATATTTTTGGCCATTTAGTTCCTGCGTATTAACTAGTTGGAAATGGCTAGTAGTGGGTGTCATCATATGTCTAGTTGTGAATCACAATCACACATCATACCATGAAGTACTTGTTTTCTGGTTCTGTTTCGCATTATGATACTAAAGGGTACAAGTGCAACTCTTGCGTTGGTTGTGCCTCTGTCCAGAAATAGTCACTTAACATTGTGTTCTACAAGCGAATGAAAGCAAATCAGACCCCACAGCACTGACAGGAGGAGGTTCCATGTCCCTGTTAGAAATATGATAATCGAGGCTCTACTGAAGTAACATAACACGCGTGGAAATGTTACAGAAATTTAATGACACCTGCAGCATGATAATCTCAAGCTAACATTAAAATTTAATTACAGAAAATGTATACTTAACATCTCAAAGTGGCTACAGTTCAGTTTTACGGTTAACTGTATAATCAATTAAAGAACGATACATTTCATTAGCAGAGATCTGCAATGTTCTTGACAGCATTGCTTATATATGTTGACATCATTTGTGTAGAAATAAGAGCTCAGTTCTGAAAGTATTGTCTGATCACCCAAAATCTGTTTAATTACCTGTCTAGCAGAAGGGAGCTTCTTCGTTTCTTGTTTTGGTTCCCTACGTTTTTTACTAGACTTGTAGTGCATGCCAGGAAGCTAACTCTAGCCTACGGCCCCCATTCCCCCTCCTGACGGGCCCGAGCGAAGCCAACCCGGTCCTGGCCACGATCAAAGATGCTGTAGAACTCCGAGATGAAGACATCCCCCAAGATCCAGAGGGACCCCTGGGAGGTGGAGACGTCCACGGCCTGGAAGCCACTGAAGCAGACCTCCATGCTGCTCAGTATCTCCTGAGGGCCAGAGGAACATCCTCACCACAAGCCCATTACTGAAGTACCCATCATAATCACAGAGATGCCTACTCACACAGCCAAGAACATCAAACGCTGACATGTCCACTCAATGCCAACAGACCCCAGTCACAGGAAGACTTATCAGAATCAGGCAGACATGTAACTATTACCTACCCATTAATTACAAAAATGTGTCACAAACACCCCCCCCCCCCAAACTATATGATTTCATGAAGGAAATATGTACATATATGTAAATTTTGTTCAATATGGTGGCTTAGTGTATAACACTGTAGCCTCACACCTCTATAGGTTGGGATTCAATTCCTGCTCCCAGCTGTGTGTGGAGTTTGCAGCTTCTCCCCTGCATTAGTGTCCTCCCACTGTCCAAAGAACATGACTTGGTGGCTCAAAATAGCAGTTGAGTGCCTGCCCTAGGAGCGACTAGCCTCCCCCCAGGGTGCCCCCGCCGTGTGCCCTGTGCTTCCCGGGATAGGATGCAGACTCACCACGACCCTGTACTGGGTAAGCGGTGGCAGAAAATGGGCAGAGAAACATCTGAGCTTCATTTTTCCCAAGTGGTTTAAGCTACCAAATACCAAAAAGATACATGCCTTTGGACACCCTTTAATTCTGCATACATAAATTTAATCTATATATACATGCCAGTTTTAATCACATTTATAGCTGAAACGAAACATTTTTTTTTTTTTTAGCTCACTCCACTTCTTTTCAGATGAGAAGCCCTGAGAGAGATTTCTGAGTTGGGTAGCTGCGATTGTATACGTACCTTTCTAATGTAGGATTCTGGAGGCATGGGATAGTCCACACCATTCAGTGTAAAGGTGATCAGAGGGAGGCTGGAAAGTCTGGCACAGTCCACCAAGAACTGAAAGGCAAGTGGGAGAACTGCAGTTCTGTAGTATGGTCAGGGGCGGATTAACGCACAGGCTAGATATGGCTTAAGCCTAGGGGCCCCACGTGTGCCAGCCTGCAAGGGGGCCCCCATTGGCGCGGAGGGGGGTGGGGTTGGGGGGCCCACGGACTACTGTAGCCTAGGGGCCTCTGTGCACCTTAATCCGCCCCTGAGTATGGTCATCGATACATATCATATAAATACATTTTTAAAATATTTTTACATTTTTGAATATTTTTTATTTCTTTAAATTGTATATAATTTTAATTGTATATATTAAGTATAGTAGCAACTATTATTCTTGCACTGATAATCACTTTGGCCAATACATTTCCACAGCATCCATAGACACACTCTCTACCTCTGCAATCCTGAGTGTTATATAGTATTAATAGTATCTGCTATTGTGTGTATTTGTGTATTTATTTCCTTTGGGATCCATAAAGTAAGTAAGTATAACTAAGTAAATAATCTGACTGTCTGTCTGTCTGTCTGTCTGTCTACAGCAACACCGTCAGGTGGACATTTTCTGAAAGACCTGCTTAAATCAGTTTGATTTTGTGATACAGTGAGGAAAGGGGAGATGCCAGACAGCATGTCTTTGCAGATGTGTCCTTGGAGAGCTGGACTTCAGACCAGTGTTTCCCATGCCTCACGCGCTCACTCACCTCGCCGATGGAGGTGGGTGTGGCCCCGATAAGCTGGTGCAGGAACATGATGTCAATGGTGGGCCCACCAATGAGGGACGTCCCGGTGTCCACAATGGCCTGACAGCTGTTGGTGCACAGGGTCTGCACACCCTGCACCTTCACACTGCAGCCCACAGAGACACAGTGTCTGTCAGGTTTTACGCAGAACCTATAATGAACTGCAATAGTGGTTTTTGGCCACCACGTTGCTTAGCATCAAAGAGATGTTATCTGAAGACGGATGGACGGATAGATGTTCTTCAGCAGATTCTAAAACTCGGTTATACATTAAAGGTCATGTGCACAGCTGTATTTACTGAAGCAGTTCTAGTAAAGCTAAGAATATATTATAAGGCTCCTCTTGGGACAGGAGAGTCTAATCCTGTAATGTTGAAGGAAAATCTTTGTAGGAGAGCCGTGTGTATTCCTGTGTTTGATCTACTTATACTCTGCATGCTTATTTCCTAGCCAGATTATGAACGACTACATCACTGAAATGCTTATTTGTCTAGGGAGATAAGTAGTAGAGTCCTGAAGTTGCTTTTAATTAAGACACCTCTATAAAAAGCAGAGATTACAGCCCTTGCACCCACAATGAGTATGTTACTTTAAACACATTTTTATATCTTACCACTAGAGGGAGACATTAACTCCATATTAACTCTGATAACGCATGACACCCAAAGCTGGCTGCCACTGGTTATTAAACAAACCATATCCATATTTTAAAATTAGTTCTACAATAACAAATCCAGCTAGAAAGCAGGTGCTGTTGCATACTTATCAATTTTGATCTGCCAGTAATTCCTCTGAGTGACAGGAACCCAGTGAATTGGTCCAATATAAAGAGCTTCATCTACCCCTCCCAGTAACAGCTCCCCTTCTGGATCTGAAGAGCTCTTCTTCCTGGAGAAAAAGTGGAGAAACATCTACTGAGACATTTTTCAAGGTCAGCACGACCTTGCTGTCACTTCCATAAATGACACGACCGCGTTGTCCACACGATGGTGCCATAAGATACAGCCAGCTAGCGGTTCCACCTACCTGCTGAGGTAGACGGAGAAGATGGGCTGTGTCACTTTCTTCTGAACCATGAGGTTGTCAAACACAGGCGTCCCCACCTCCTGTGCCAGGGAGGGGTAGGCCAGACCAAGGATTCCATCGAACTTGCCCATGAGGAAGGTCATACCCGGCTCGTACACCGACTCCCCAAACTGCTGATTGTCCACTGACATTTCACCCACCTCAACACGGAGGAGAAGTTTGAAACTTTGTTCATAAACATATCTGGTTATCTGTAGTGACAGCCCAATGAAGGTTCATGAACCATTTGCTGTATTTTTTGCCCCCACTAGATGGCGCCCTTGGCCTGCTTTGGGGCATGCTTTAAGGACTTATTTGAACAGAAAGCACCATCTAGTGGAAAATACGGCAAATGGTTCATGAAGCTTCATTGGGCCCTCACTAGTTATCTCAACTACAGCCCAGGGTTGGCAAAGTGATTCCACAGTTGCTCAAGAAACTGACCCTGCTTGAACATGAATAATTTATGTATGTGCGAGCTCACAGTACCCTGAGCAGTTCCCTGGCCATCACACCCATCAGGTGACCAGACCCATACTGGATGGTAAAGACCCGGCAGTCGTGAACGTAGCTGCTCGACTCAAAGGCCTTGAACTTGTTGTGCTTGCCTGGGCAGCGAGACAGAGTTCACGTGGTATTATTTCACGAACATACTGGCTTGCACTATTCACGCTTTGTAGGTTTTCGGTTAAATCAGGAATTACAAATAATCAGCTTTGCTATTTAGTTGATTCAGTATCCTGATAAATTTCTCTTCTAAAAATGTGCATTTTTGCCCCTGTTCAAAGACAATTGCATTCTGGGGATTGAGTTCCAGGTTGATAAACCACAGACATTGCACAGCACTGTACAGTCATATATAAAACCATGAAGTGTGTTTTAATGGCTGACATAAGATAGACCAGTGTGAGCATTACATAGACGGTAAGGGACAAACAGCATTGGACTGCCGGTTAGCAGCCAATAGATGCTCCGCTTACGTACCACATGCCTCACTGACACAGTAGGATGACGGCACCCACAGGTCAGCCGAGCCGGTGTCGAAAATCACTGTGAAGTTCTGTCCAGGAGTCCCCAGGCTGATCTCGCCGTAGTACTGGGCCTACAGCATCCGTTAGAGAGCAGAGACCCTTGGTTAGGCCCCGCCCATTTTACAATCGTGTGCTGGTAAGTTTTTCAATTACCCTTTCTCATGTACCCTGCCTTATGTAAGTACAGTTACTGATATTATTTTATATATATTATTATTTTATTGTTTTACCTTATTTTATCTTTTTTCATATAGTAACCTTTTTGTTTTACATATATCTTTTTAAACATTATTGAGGGTGAAAGGGGAAAAGGAATCCATTACACACATATATTGTGTATGTTTGTGTGTGTGACAAAGAAAACTAACTAAATAACTCTAACTGGATATGTATTATAAAGGCTGGGCCAAAAGTATTAAGAAAACCACACTGGTCTGTCATGTTCTTAACACAGTATAACTACTTGATGCTATTTTTGTTACTGAGTAAATATCGGGTGTAGCTGGCTCTTCTGGCCAAGGCTGTAGTTACACATGATGGCACATATATGGCAAGGAGGAGGGCAGGGAGCAAAGGGGGTGGGGAGCAGGTCAGGCAGGGAGGAGGGAGGGCGGGGAGCAAAGTGGGTGGAGAGCAGGTCAGACAGGGAGTTGGGTGGCGAAGAGCAAGGGAGGCAGGGAGCAAGGCAGGCAGGGAAGGAGAGCAGGAGGGAAAAAAGGCAGGGAGTAGGGTGGGTGGGGAG